GGGGGGGGGGGAGGGTCAAAACAACACTGTAGGTTACCAAGGGGTAGGGAGAGGGGATCAAAAATTATAAAAAATCGCATCATGTGATTAATAAACGCCCCCTATTTGGACGAAAGAACTTTAGATAATTATTTTCATTAAAATAATTCCTTAAGGATGAAAACGAAAAGTTTCGAACCTTTGCACGAAGATAGTTATACAGCAGGCAACCCTGAATGGTACTGTTAAATTGAGTCCCTGTATAATCCGACAGATCCTTGAAAAGGGCTTTCGATACATCTTTTTGTTTCATCATTGAAATTTCCTTGGTTTCTCTTTCGAGAAACTCTTTTTTATACCATGGACAATTTAACCAGCTGAAGAATAGTGTATCCTCAGTCCGCACTTTTACATCGAGATCCATTTCGATGTTCGGCATTGAGTTAAGTACTAAGCCGGACGACAAGAAGAATGTTTCATCAATGAGGGGATTCACTGCGAGCATTCCGAGTGCTATTAGTTGGGCTGTTTGCTTTGACGGCGAAAGATCCGCTGCTCGGAAATAAGTTGTGTCACTCGGCAATTGTAACGAAAATTTCTGCTTGGGTGAAAATAATCCGCCATAGTTCATACGCAAGTTTCGCCCTACTCTCACAGCGTTCTGTTTTCCTTTCTGCAAAAAAAAAGGAAGTGGGAAATTACTTTTCTCGTCATATACAGGGTGACGTCAGGACCTTGTTTACAAATTGTGAGGAAATATAAAATAGAAAATCAGTAATTCGGTGGCATAAAAATGATGACATTACGATAATAAATTTTTGAATAGTGAACGTTGGAATTTTTTAATGATTTACCTAATAAGATAATGGTCGTCTCCCGCCATGCCGCCATAATTGAAGAGGCTCCACCAGTTATTAACTGGACAACATTTCAACTACGACATCATAGCAACTAGGACATTTCAACTGAGATTTTTCAACTGCGACATTCAAACTTCGACAAATCCACTGGGATTTTTTACCTGCGCCACTTAAACTAGGTCTTAAACAACAGTATAAAAAATTAACGATAATATAGTGGTGAACATAATTCTACAGTTATAATTTGAATTTCCAAAAAAACATAAATACTTGAACTGAACAATCAATAAGCCCAAATTAATTTAATCAACCGATACTCGCGGTTGTAAAACTTCATTGTTCACCATTAATAACATCAATCATAATAAATAGAATGAACAAATAAACGATCATAAATAATCATAAACCACAACATATTATCAGTTCACAGTAATAGCGATACGAAGGATGCATACAAGAGTCAACACATGGCGAATACGCCTGTTATGCTCTCTTCAGCAAATTGAAGAAATTTTGTCAAAAATATTCTAAAAACGGCAGGAAATATTTTTCAAAAATACATTTGAATCGTTGAAGCAGAAAAATTTAAGTCGAAATGTCGTAGTTGGAAAATGATAGTTTTAATGTCGCAGATGACAAATTTTAATTCAAAAGTCGCAGTTGAAATATCGTCCAGTTGATAAGAGATGTCACCGATTGAAAGAGGTGATAGTACAATTGTGGCGATATTTACTGCGATAATTTTAGCGATAGCCTTAGTGAAAGCCTATTATCGGAATTTAGTAGAGAAAACACGTAAAAATTACGTTTCGAAACGTAATCCGCGAACCAAGTAAAATTCAATAAAAAGTGTGAGTCAGAACTGAAATTGTACGAATCGCCACGTAAATTCTACGATTTGTTCCGTAAAAATTAATAACCCGTCTGATGACTCACTGCTGTGGGAACAACAAGTCGTTTCATAATTTCTCCCCAATGATTGAGAAGTTTTACGGACCGAAACGTAGAAATAACTCACCAGCTTCTTAAAAATTTTTGAACGTTCACGAATTTTTTATTTTAGAGGCATAATAAGTCGGCAAGTTTATGTAAGATTTTACATCTTCGGGAAAAATTACGTGACAATTTCGTACTTTGTTCGGTGATGCACCTGAAAATTCACTGAACGTTTCAGATTTTTTCTCTTCCATTCCTATAAAAGTTGCCGGAAAACGATTCCCCATTGCGGATTACGTGAATTGTTCCGTAATTTTTACTGAATATTTCTCTCCGTGAAATAGTACTTTTCGTCACTAGGTCGAAAGAATATTTTTTGTCAATTGTTCGTAGACAAATGACACAGTAAAATGACGCCACGCGTGCGTGAAATGCGGCCTTACGGACTAAATGGCGAAAAAATGCATTCCTGTTTAAAATGAAAAAAAAAAAAGAATACGCTGTGACATCACATCTAAACAACACGCCCTCCCCCCTTCGTCACGTCGTCACCAAATATAGACCCCCCTCCCCCCTAATCGTGTGACGTGATATTTGACCGCTCCATTACAAAATTTTTACCTTTTTGCTGCCATTCATAAGCGAAAAGGTACACGGAAAGAAACATTCAATAAAAATTACTGATCTTTTCCGTAATTCCGGAGCGAAATGTGGTTGTAGGAAATTTTACGGAACTGTCACCGCATTTTTCCAGAGCGTTCCGTAATTTTTGTCTGAAGACCGAATGGGCGCTACAGCGCGTTGTAATTGTAACAATCATAATTGTAAATCTCAGAATTAAATTAATCATGAATTAAATTTGCCGCCTCAGACGACTGGAACCAATGAGGAATAAGCGTGACAGACTTGCGAGATATCGATAGTTATCGACTTTAAGTCTATGTTCTTTTTAGAATATGATCTCCTATGAAAAATTACGATATCGTCACTTAAATTTTTTCAATCGATTCCGCAATCGGTGAGCGAATTGGGAGTTCCGTAATTTTGATGTGGATACGTCTATGGTTTCAATATGATGTGCAGCGCCATAAGGCGCTGCATTTCTATTGGAATTGTAGAAAATTCTAGACATTTCGAGGTAATCCGAGAAGTTTCTTCAAATTTGGCAAAAATTCAAGGAGTTTCTAGAAATTTCGAGGGAATTCAAGGAATTTCTAAGAAATTCAAGAAAGAAGGAAAGATTATGGACGTATCCACGTACAATTACAGCTGTATCGAAGATACAGCCGCCAGCAATTTTTACTGAATATTTCTCTCCGTATGAAAATCGTGCCTATGCCGTGGAAAAAAAAGGATTCACGAAGGCTTAATATATATTAATACTATTCTATATAATTATTCATTTGTACATACACTCGTCAACTGGTCGACTCCCGCTGGCATCCAGGAAGGATCGATTTGAGGGATCTTCGGAAAATACCCCCTGATTTCGCTGGGAGTACTCTCTGTGTGATGCGCGAGAACTTGAACTAGAACAAGTTCTGCACTGGAGAACTTTGAATGTAAGATAAAACAAAATATTGTCCATACGTAATTGAACTTCATCGTACAAAACTAGCGAGCTTTAGGAGGAGTTGAAGAAGACTGAGTGGAAACTTGTGAGAGCGGTTTAAATAGTCTCGCCAGAAATTACCTGGCGATTGAAGAGCCATTGTATTGCATAGATATTACACCATATTATTGTATTGCATGGATATTGCACCACCGTTGTTCAATTCCCTTGGCAAAGGGAGTGCAAGATATGACAAGGTCATTAAAAACCCATTTAGCTCCATTGTTGACGTCAAAGGTAACTGTGATGTGCGTTTTTCCAGTAAAGATTAATATTACATTAACAATTACTTTTACGTCACTATATATTACAGAAGTAAATAAAACTCTACTTCTCTGATTCACCACTAATTTCGTGGGGAAATATTATCAATTGACCCGGCTGTGTGGCGCACTTGGTAGCAGCATGAGATTCACAACCTCAAGCTCCCAAGTTCGAGCCCCGGCCAGGCCAAAATTCCACACCAATTTTCCATCACAATTTTCCACATAATATTCAACTGAAAATTCAACACAATTTTCAAACCGAATATTCCACGGAATTTTCAACTGAAAAATCCACTCCACATTCAACATTCCCTGGCTGAAGGCCCACGGGCGATGGCCGCGTTGGCAAGTTAACCCTTGCAACGAAAAACTGGTGAAATTTGAAATTTTTTATTATCAATTGAATTTTATTTTCCTGTCGATCTCCGATGACGCATATAAAAAAGTCGAAAAAATATTAAGCCCCATCGACTCGGGCTTGTATTCAACAATGAAAAAATGAATATGCTTTTTTGTAGCACATCTCATTCGATTTGTGCTCCCACCGAACTTTGTGAAGAAAAAAAAATTTCAAAAAATTTTTAGATGTGAAGAAAACTAGTTTTGAGTTTTCAAATTTCAAGAAATTTCCGTAATTCCCTAATTTTTCCGTGACTCTCAGGTCGATAAAATTCCCTGACGATTTCCGACTTTCCGGGTTGCACTGACCGCTGGCCACCTTCAATTTTTCGAAAGTCTTTTTCTGTACTGCTTCTCACGATTTCTCGTCTGGGAATTGGTATTACATACTTCCCAAACTCGAAAACTTGGAAATCACTACAGAAAAATATTGTTCCTGGGCTGTTGCGATGGGGTTTTTTTACTCATGTGGCGTTGGCCTCCGAGCCGTAGGCGAGGAGTGGCCGCCTACGGCTCGGAGGCCAACGCCACACGAGTAAAAAACCTCATTGCAACAGGCCGGAAAAATACTATTTCTTCAGATTTATCAGAAATTTTTCTTCTTCAGATTTATTCGAAATTTTCTTTTCTTCAGATTCATCACGAAACTTCTTCTGATAAATCTGGTATGAATAAGGCTTTGATCTGCAAAAACGGTAAATACTGCATTTCTATCGATCAACCTTCAAATGGGGGAATAATCCAACCGAATGCCCCATGTACTTATTTCGGATGGGCGTAATCGAACTAGCGGTTGCGGAGATATTTGACCTTTTGTATGAATCGATATCGTGAAAAGCGTTCTACGAATCTTTTCCCCGAGACCGAATTTCCCGGACAAGATTCCCCGAACAAAATTTCTCCGAACAAAATTCCCCCGGACAAAATTTCGCCGAAAAAAATTCCCCGGGACAAAATTCGACCGACGGAATTTCTTTTGAAGTCGCGCTCCTATAACCGGCACGAGGAAAGTTAGTGATGGGGATATCAGTTTAACTGTGTTGGGTTTTCAGCTGAATGTTGATTATTTTGTATTTTATTCGTGCCTAAATTCTTAATTATTCAGTCCAGATTCAACTTGTATACACTGAGCCACGAGGCGAATAGGAAATTACTTGCTAATATAAATTAAAATTACAGTATCTTTATCACGCCTCAAAATGTTAGAAGTAGTTGTTTCGGATCTCGTCACTTCTTTTTTCTTGGTGTTTTTCGGTGTGAATTCTTATTGTTTATTAAAGACTCTGACTTGCTTGCAAAACTGCTGTGTGACAATTTTTTTGTCTTTCCTCTGTCCATTCCAAAAGGAAATTGTGTCCGGGGAAAT